ACTAAATAAACTGTTTATTGTGCGAATTAATGATTCCATTAATTCGCACAATACTGTATGTACAATAATTATTTATTTTCATTGTTATTTACATTTGAATAAAAGATATGACGCCAAACATTGTAAAATTAAAAAGATACTTTTTGTAACATAAAAACACATATATTTTACAATAATTACGTAATTGCGCATCGCCCGCCACTGATGTGACTGGATGCAAAATATTAAAAATTTAACGAATTTATTGATTTCCCAAAAAGAATTTACTAAATTATTGACATAAAACAGAATTTTAAATTTTTAACATTAAAATATCGGGGATAACTATATTCGCGATAATCACCCGTCAAATTCACATCGAACATTGTAGCTAGTAATGTGGCGGCAGTTCCGTCCTTTATCAGCTACATGTAAAAATATCAACTCAATGTTCCATTCTTAGTATATTATATCGATAAGCGTATGCGTATGTTATGTATGCATCTGTTGAAATGTGCCACTCTCTATAGCCTTTTTGGCTGTTTTGGTGTTTTAGTAATGTGTTGATTACCTTTGATAGCAGAAGAGATACCCATGGTTTGTTACTACTTAAAAAAAATGTACATGTTACAGAGATTTTTTAGATACGCCAATGTCCAGGCCGTGATCATTTTTTATTATTATAAAATGTAATTATAATTCAGTTGTTGATCATAATCTCATTTCAGAGGGAACCACCCACAAAGCCGAATGTACAGCGGATTTATTGAAATCTATAATTATTTCTATATACAGTGTTATTGTTAATAATATCAGGTCAAGTCGTGATGGATTTTTCATCTTCCGAACGTAGGAGTATGATGAAAAGTTCAATTTAAGATTATTAGAGGGCATACTCGGCTATACTTGCCAAACAATCCGCAATTTTGTATTAAACAGTATCCCAATCAGTCGTCAAATTCTCGTCTAACACTAGCCAGAACGCCTGGCGTTTTTTTGCACAAACAATTATTATTTAAACTGTTTTTCAGGAATGCCTCTACCCTCCGGCTATTGTGCGCAGGGCACCCATCCATTTTAAACCAAATGTCTTCTTAATCTGAAGTTACTTCTGCAGTGCAAGGCTTGGTAAAATTTCTTTTTGCAGCATGTATATCGGGATATCATACGCTAAATAAAACATCTTTTTTTTCTTTTTCACATAATGATGTTTTTTGTTGTTGTTTACAAACAATATCATGCATATCTAGTAAATTTTATCTTTTAGATAAAACATCATGAGTTAAGAAGATAAAAGGCCGCTGACTGACAAGGAACTTGCCGATATAAAAGATAGGCTTTGGGATAGCGAAGATGGATTTGATGATGATGATGATATTGTCGATCGAGATTTCTGACCTGACGAACAAGTTGGTACATATGATGAGTCTAATAATGAGGATGCTTAACCGATAGACAAAATGGATGAGAATGCTGTAGACAATAATATAGTTAATAGTAGTGTAGAGGAGAATCCTCAGAAACTCTCAAGGACAACAGTATACTTATTTTACAATCAATTTATGATCAAACATACTAGTTGTCTTTTTATTTCTAGACGTTATATAGAGAAAAAAATTGAACTTATCCGAACGGCAACTGAAATTTAGAGGAAATCAGAGTCTTCTAAATCATATCAACTATGAATATTTTATTGATGTCCTATGTCCTATGATGTCCAACTATGAAGTCCCTATGAATATTTTAATTTATTCATCACAGATAGCCTTTTAGACAAAATTGTGAAGGAATCAAAATTATCTGCCATACAACAGAATCCTAACAAACCACTGAATATTACACGAAGCAATTTATTGGAATTACAATATACATGTCCCTTGTTCATTTGCCCAATACAAGGGCATATTGGTCAGAATTTTTTTTATTATTATATAACGGCTTTAGCATAGCCAATTAGCCAGACAATGTGTGGTAGTTACAATTTTTATTACCTAAGGCTATTTATAATCTAACTTTACAGGAAGTCATATGTTCGTATACACATTCAATTTTTGACATATTTACAATTTAATTTGAATACTATTTGTGGTAGTTACAGTTTTTATTACCTAAGCCTATTTATAATCTAAGAATTGGTCAGAAGAAATTGGCTTTGAGAAAATAAAAAGTTCTGTCAGTCAACAGGTACGAACAAATCAGACAATTTTTACATTTCAATAATAACAATACTATATTATGGAGTGGAATCATGGACGTTAAATCTAGATACCATGAGACGACTTAACGCCTTTGAAATGTGGACCTATAGAAGAATTATGAGGGTTTCCTGGGTAGATAGAGTTACAAACAATGAAATACTGAGAAGAATAGGCAAAGAGAAGGAAAGTGAACTTACAATTAAAGAAAGAAAGCTACAGTATCTCGGACATATGATGCGGGGCGATAAGTATGGCATCCTGCGACTCATAATGCAAGGAAAAATAGATGGCAGAAGAAGCATCGGAAGAAGACGAATTTCATGGCTGAAGAACCTGAGAGAATGGTTTGGATGCAGCTCAAAACAACTATTTAGAGCTACTGCCTCAAAAATTAAGATAGCTATGATGATTGCCAACCTCCGTAGCGGAGATGGCACCTGAAGAAGAAAGAATAACAAAAATGACTTATCCTGTGACAATCCAAACTACGATAGATTTTATAAAATTAGACCAATAATTGGCCACCTCAATGAAGCATTTTCAAACGAAATTCCATTGGAACAATATCTAACATATTGGAAAAATAACAGTACCTACCAAACCAACCGCATAAATGGGGTTTTAAATTTTTTGTCTTATGCAGTAGCTCTGGTCATGCTTATCGCATAGAATTATATACAGGGCAAGAAAATGATCAAAAAGCGAGACCTGCTTTTGAACCTGACCTCGGAGCAACTGCAAATATTGTGGTGAGATTGGCTAGAATTATTCCTAGGAATATGAGTCACAGGCTTTATTTTGACAATTATTACTCTTCTATACCTCTCCTTCTATATCTTTCCAAACAAGATATTCACAGTTTAGAAACCGTAAGAAGGAATAGGATTCCAAATTGGAAGCTTCTGGACGAAAAGGCTATGAAAAATGAAGAAAGACGAACTGGTGTAGAGTTGGTTGGTACTTGCGATGGTGTGGAAATAAGTAGCTTAATGTGGAAAGATAACAAATTAGTCACGTTTCTATCGACTTTTGCTGGCGAAGTTCTTAAAACTATTGCCAAGAGATATGACAAGAAAGAAAAGAGAACAAAAGAAGTAAGTTGTCCATATGTTATATAAGAATACAACCTTCATATGAACGGTGTTGATTTGTAGAACAGCAATATGGGACGGAATAAAATTATTCTAAGGAGTAAAAAATTATATTTTAGAATATTTTTCTACCTACTAGATCTAACCGTTGCTAACAGTTGGATTCTTTACAAGAATTCAGCTCAACATAGAACTGGTGCAAAGCCTAAAGTCACACACGCTCAGTTTAGAACACAACTGGCAAGTGACCTTCAGCAAGTGAAACTGAGGAGGCGCTACAAATAAAGAAGAGAAAAGGCCCAGCACGGGTTATGCCAGTAAATGATGTTCAAATAGAAATAGAAATAGATGGAATAAGGTAACTGGTTTAAAAGTTTTCATTTTTCCTAAATATTGTTTTAAGTATATCCTTATTTGCTTAATTTTGTTCATAAACAACACATTTTCCCAAAATAAAAAAATAGTTGTAAAATAGTTTCGAAACACAATTCAGATTTCTGCTTTATAATCTGAGCCTTCTAAGAATTGCAAGGCAAACAGACGTTGATAAAAGATGTTAAAAGAGACATGGGGAATCTAAAATTTGCATTCCACGACATGTCTTTTACAACTAAGCAGAAATATTTAGCGAATTGTGTTTCTCGTACTCCCACAGAGTATATCCGAATAAAATGAGAAAAGGCAGGAAATATTTGATTTCACGCAAACAAATCCTATGTATCTCTTAATACGTATTTCGACCTAATAGGTCTCGTCAGAAGAGCTATTCATAGGGGTTCTCAACGTGAAAAATCAATATTTTCTGCCTTTTAAGAAGCAACAATAACATGGCTTCAATACGGACGCAGTAGCGACATCTAATTAAACAATCGTAAAATAGTTTCGAAACACAATTCAGATTTCTGCTTTATAATCTGAGCCTTCTAAGAATTGCAAGGCAAACAGACATTGATAAAAGATGTTAAAAGAGACATGGGGAATGCAAATTTTAGATTCCCCATGTCTCTTTTAACATCTTTAATCAACGTCTGTTTGCCTTGCAATTCTTAGAAGGCTCAGATTATAAAGCAGAAATCTGAATTGTGTTTCGAATCTATTTTACGATTGTTTAATTAGATGTCGCTACTGCGTCCGTATTGAAGCCATGTTATTGTTGCTTCTTAAAAGGCAGAAAATATTGATTTTTCACGTTGAGAACCCCTATGAATAGCTCTTCTGACGAGACCTATTAAATCGAAATACGTATCAAGAGATACATAGGATTTGTTTGCGTGAAATCAAATATTTCCTGCCTTTTCTCAAAAAAATAGTTGTTCAGAATTTTTTGATTATTTTTTCCTGTAAAAATAACGAAAATCCAGTCTTAATAAAAAATCATGCGGTAAAGGATTAAAAAAACGTATTTAAAATAATATAAAATATACATTAAAAATTTACCCTTTAAAAGTAAAATTTAAAAACATTTGACTCGGGAAATTTCATTTAAATTGAGTGCAATAAACACTTGTATAGCAGCATTTGTCAAAAATTACGTTTTACACAAAGAACGACCGTAGTTATTCGACTGCACTATTGTACACAATTCTGATTTGTCGTTGTCATAAAACAACGGAACTAGAGAGCACTATTTGTGTAGCGTCTATGCCGTAATATGATTTACTTGCACACATTTATGAAGTGCATCATATGGCAAAATACAAAATGGCACAACCAGAAGACGGTAAAAACTTACATGATGTACACGCCGCAATTTGTCTACTAAATTGGCTACTCTAGGATCGATACTCTGTATATTTGTGCTGGGCTTTACTTCGGGATTATATTTCTGCATGTCGAAGCCTACATCGACGACTGTTTTCGTGTATCTGAAAAGAAAATAGCATATTAGAGAAATCGTTGCAGATTCAAAAGCAATGATATTTAAATATTCAAAAATTTGTTGTTAGTCTAACAGGGATTTAAAGGTAAACATTTGTGATATTTATATGAAGATCAGATAAGAAGAAATTTCTAATAACATCTCTTGGTGCTTAAGGCATGCTGATGATTACTACTTGGGTAGTACAGTACTATTTGGGTACGTAAGAGGTTTCCCAATAAGAATGTCAAATCTGTAAATCAAATTTTTTTATTGCAAAATATAATAGATAACAATTATGTTCCGAATAACACATCATTCAACTGTCCACCGGGACTACGTTTGCAGGAGCGAATACGATAAACCCAATTTTCGGTCACTTTATGCAAAATATCCGCATTAATCTCACGAATGGTGTGCTCTATGTTCCTCTTCAAGTCTTCAATAGATTGTGGTTTGTTCACATAGACTAATGACTTAACATCTTCTTCTTCTTCTTCGTCTAGCCATTCACGTCCACATCTGAACATAAGCCTCTTCAAGTCTTCCTTTCCATTGTTTTTTATTGTACGCTACTTGTAGCCAATTTTTCCCAGCAGTCCTTTTCAGATCATCTGTCCATCTCATAGGAGGCCTGCCTCTGGGTCTTTTGTGTTGGTATGGTCTCCAGGTTAAAATTGATCTGTGCCATTTGTTTAGATCGCTCCTAGCTACATGTCCAGCGTATTCCCATTTCAACTTTAATGATTTTTGCACCACATCGGTGACTTTGGTTTTCTGTCTTATCCATGTGTTTTTTTTCTTGTCCTTAAGTGATATACCTAGCATTGCTCTTTCCATCGCGTGTTGAGTGACTCTAAGTATATTCATATTCTTTTTTGTGATTGTCCATGTTTGTGCCGCATAAGTTAATATCGGAATAATGCATGCATCAAAAACTTTAGATCTAAGATGTAATTGAATTTGTTGATTTCTGAGTATAGTTCAGTTTACCGAATGCTGCCCAAGCTAACTTTCTTCTTCTTTTTATTTCTTCCGTTTGAATTTCCCTATTTAGGATTATTTTTTGTCCTAAGTATATATATTCTTCAACTTTTTCTATAACTTTATCGTTTATTATTGTCACGGTGTCTTCGGAGTGCATGACTTTTGTTTTGTTTAAATTCATTTTCAGTCCTATTTTAGAAGATTCGTATGTAGTTCTAAAAGCATGGTTTGCATTTCTTGTAGGTCAGTAGCTATCAGGATTATGTCATCTGCAAATCGTAGATTACTGAGGTAGCGGCCATTGATGTTTATTCCCTTATATTTCCAATTTAGGTTTTTAAAAACGTCCTCCAAAACTAAGGTGAACAGTTTGGTGATAAAGTATCTCCCTGTTTGACTCCCCTGTTTAATGGTACAGGGTTCGTGTGTTCATTTTCATTTAGGTAGTATGTAGCTGTAGCTTGGTTCATAGTTTCTTTTATTAAGTTAATATATCTGCTGTCTATTCTACAATTTTGCATTGCGTTTATTACGGCCGTGTGTTCTATGGTATCGAAAGCTTTTTCGTAGTCTACAAATGCTAGGAAAACTGGAAACTTGTATTCGTTACATTTTTCTATTAATATTTTTGTGGTTAACAGGTGATCGGAAGTTGAGTAGCCTTTTCTAAAACCTGCCTGTTCATATGGTTGGTATTCGTCTAATTTCCTTGTTAGTCGAGTAGTTATGACTTTGGTGAGTATTTTAAACAGGTGTGACAGTAGGCTGATGGGTCTGTAGTTTTCCAATTTTCGACTATCACCTTTCTTGTGTAATAAGATTACTTTAGAGTTGTTCCAGCTCTTAGGGACTTTGCCCTGATGTAAACAACTGTCCACAAGTTTAGTTACAATTGCAATTAGTTCCTTACCTCCTCTAATATCATATCTGTGGTAATACTATCTTCTCCTGCAGCTTTATTTCTCTTCATGTTTTCCAATGCTGTAGTTACCTCTGAAATTGTTACTTTTGGCATTATTTCTGATCCAACATTTTTTATTAATTTCCGTGCTGGTCTCATCTCATCATCTTGTTGATGTGATCTGTAAAGTTCTGTGTAAAATTCTTCTATTCGTGTCAGTATGTTTTCTCTACTTGTGATTTCATTTTCGTCTTTTCCCATTAATGATATCATCTGACGTCGTCCTAGTGTCGGTCTGAGGCATTTCATACTCTTATTTTTTTCAATAGTTGTTGTTATTAATTTTTCGTTTTTTTTCTTTTTTGTTGTCTGATTCCTTTTCTAATCTGCCTATTAAGTTCTCTATATTCGTCGGTTCTCCTTTTGTTAGATTTATTTAAGATCTTCCTTCTTTCTATTTGTTGTAATATTTCTTTGTCTAATTCATTGTATGTTGTTTTTGGTTTTGTCAGTTGCAGAAGGCTTTTATTCACTGTTTCGGTAATAAGGTTATTCAAATCATCAATATCATTGGAGTTTATCTGCTGCATGCTAACTTGATTTAATGCATGCACTATCTTTTTATTAAATTCACTATTTTTGATTTCTTCAGATGTTCATTTGTATCTTTTTTCATGTATTCTTTTTCTTTCTAGTTTTTTGTTAATTATTAGTTTTGTTCTTATTAGTCTATGATCGCTTCCTAGGTCAAACTGATTTAATACTGATACGTCTTCTACTAGGTTTCTATTCTTCGTTAAGATATAATCTATTTCATTCTTTGTCTTTTTATCGGGACTCATCCATGTCCATTTTCTGCTTGGTTTTTTATTGAAAAAGGAGTTCATTGAGTACATGTTATGTTCATTCATGAAATTGAGAAGCATTTCTCCTCTATCGTTTCTTTTCCCGTAGCCATAGTTACCAATTAAATGTTCATAATCTTCCTCTTTTTTGCCCAATTTAGCATTAAAATCTCCTAATAGCATTTCGTAATTTGCTTTATTTGTTTCTATAGCTGTTCTTATTTCTTCATAAAATATTTCTACTTCTTGATCGTCGTGGCTTTTGGTCGGAGCGTACACTTGGATCACTTTCAGAGTGGTTCTTTTATTAATCCTGAAGATGAGATATGCTACTCTGTCTGATATGGGCTTGAATTCTTCGATACACTGTGTGAGGCTTTGTTTTACCAAGAATCCCACTCCAGTGTATTCGCCACCTTTATGCATAAAATGTGTGCCATTTTTTAGTATTATATACTCATCACTTTTTCTTCTGGTCTCGCATATACCAAGGATATCCCATTTGATATCCTTTAGTTCACTTTCTATTTCTGGGAATCTATTGTCGTCCGTCAGTGTTCGAACATTGTAGGAGCATAGCCCCATAAAAATAATCCAACGGTGTTAAATCGCAGCCTTTTGGAGGCCAAGCATCTGGTAGAAGTTGCTGAATTCTCCTGGAATCTCTGGCATCAAGAGAAATCCATATATCCGGGAACTTTTCCTTCAATAAATCAATAGTTGGGGCAGTAGTGTGACATGTGGCACCGTCCTGTTGAAAAACATGCCATCCAAGTCTATTTTATCCAACTGAGGCCACAAAAAATCCGTTATCAGCGTTCGATACTTTTCACCGTTGACTGTTACACAATGTTCGAAAAAATAAGGTCCATAATGTAATGATGCCATAAACCACACCAGACTGTGACTTTTTCTGGATGCAAAGGCTTCTCAAGAATCTCATGTGGATATTTTCTCTCCAAAAACGACAATTAAAAGAGGAAAAGTAGTAAAGAGGAAGCTTCTAACCAGCTTGACGGAATGTGCGTATTACTTCAGTTATGAATATTCCACAAGAAACTATTTTTCTTTTCTATTCTTTTTGTATATAAAATGAAAAGATAACAAATTTCATTATCGAACTCCAAATTATTTTTTACAATGTACATATGTGAAACACTATCACCAAAATATCTCATTTTATATATAATAAAAGCTTACGATAGCTTAATTATTTCGGATTAAAGGCGGCATTTGTATTAAATTAACGACCGATATGCATCTGGTTTAACCGTTTATCTATCAGGAATAAATAATAATGAGCCTTTTAGATTGTTAGTCGACTATTATGTAGGACACAATTTGGGTATAGTAACGCTATTAAAAAACTAAATTTACCTACTGAGGGACGTACTATGATATTAACTGAAACAAAAGAGCATGTCAAAAGAATCATAAAAAGAAAGCCTCAAGATGGGCCACTCTTTGATGGGTATTCAATCACAAATTTGTAAAATAACAATAAAATTGACAGTTATGGTTTAATTTCGTTACAGCGTACCACCATTCGCTGATATGCATACTTCCGTCTTCTTCCTTACATGCGAGCAATGTTCAGAAGAAGAGGTATCACTATCACTATTTACAAAACTTTCCGATGAATATCCGAATGTTTCTTCATCTGACAAAATTTCGTTCATCATTTTTTCAAGTTGAATTTGTTTTTTTTTTCGTATTCGCCCATTTTAGATGCACAATTTATTGTACTTGTTTAGACTGTAACGATATATTTTGCTTATTTCAGGGTTAGAACATGGGGGTAGAAGATTGGGGACAGAACTACTGGGGGTAGAGATAGGGCAAACAAAATAATCGATACTGGTGCGTACGGCACTCAGGGGTTTATTGGAGAGCTGGGTCGCGGATAAGTTGAATCAATCGGGTCGGAGTACGGTAACTACAAAAAGAAACAAAGGGATAATTACATAAATCTCCTGGAACAAAACGAACAAGATATAGACAGACAAGAATTACCTCTAGTTATTTTCTTATTTGGACGCCACTTCGAGAAAACTTCCTGGCGAAGAAAGAAAAATTCTTCTTTCCTTATTTTCACTTATTTCGCACTTAACAAAAACTTGCTACATCTCTGGGATTTAAGTTACCTGGACAAATTCTCTACAGGAACAAAAGAAACCATTTCCATAAACTGGGACGACGATCAAAGACGCAAACTAGGTTGGAGCAAGCAGAACGACAAACGAAGTTGGTGGGGACACCCTACATAAAGCTTTC